TCGTCATCTCTTTTGGGTTTATCTCCACCAAAACCGGTTAGCAAAATACAGAGATGTCTTTAAGCTCATGAATAATATAATGGCAAAATCTCTCCTAGTGATTTTGCTCCTAGGTTCGGATTTTTCTAGAGAGAAGGAAGAGAGATATTTTAGAGAGAGAAGTAGAGAAAGGAAAAGAGTGTGCTTTTGGGTTAAATGATTTAAATTGGGAAAAGAGATGGTGGGAGGGAATGATGGCCAAAATTATGAGGTTAAATGTTAACAACTTAATTTTTATTTTCCTTGATTATATTTTCCCAAATTTAATTATTTTAAATTGATATTAGAAGATCCATAACAAATTATATGGAGTTTTAGGTGTTAAAGTTTATAAATTTGAGTTTTATGGCTTTTAGGGTTTTGGGGTTTAATAAATCTTTGGACATCAAAATAATTTGAATTTTTGAGACTTGAAATTATTTTAGAGTCTTATAATTATTTTATAGTTATTAATAATGCTTACCACTTGTTTTTGTCGGTTTATTGGCATTTCTATGTAGTGATTCTGAGATTCAAGTGAAATTGAAGAATCAAGTATATTACTCCTAGTTTTCAACTTTGACTTAAGTTCCTATGAGACTCTGACCTAATTTCTACTACTAGGTCAAGTGTATGATATATCTACATGAATGTACAAAGATGCTTAAGTCAAGGAATGACCCAAATTTTATAGTCACTACAGTTAAAGTAGTTATAGAATTCACATATCAATGTGAAATCTAAGCACACTATCCCTCGTTTCTAATTGTTTCCAAGTTTCTAGTAGGTTATAACTTAGCTTCTAGTTACTAAGTCTAGAATGTGTCGTGCCTATACGTGCAACTAAGTATATTCAATTCTAGAACGAACTCGAATTTTGACTGTTGTCACACCTGATTACAAACCATGCCCAACAATTACACTTCTACTCAATAAATTGAAGAAAGCTCAAAGGTATTTTCTACCCTTTCTATGCTTTAAAGTCATAAGTGTAAGTATATGCTAACTTATGTTGTATATGAAGGTATTGATAGGTTTTACCAAGTGGTCTTAACTAAATTGAAACAAGAAACCTGGCTGAGTCCTATCCTGTTGATCTGGATAAGAAGACTTGTACTTGTTAAGTGTGACAACTTAATGGGTATGGATGCATGCATTCAGTTGCTACTATCTCATATTTGAATAGAGATATTGACACTTATGTGGATCATATGTACTATGCTGCCTTTTACAAGAACACTTATCTATACCGAATACATGGAATGAATGGTAGCAATATGTGGCCACCTAATGACTTCATACCACCTCTCCCACAATTGAAGAGAAGAATGCTAGGTAAACCAAAAGTAAACAGAAGAAGAGATGCATCTGAAAAGAAGGCAAGACACACTGTATCTAAGGTAGGGAAATAAATATTGTGCAACTCACAGATACGATTATGTACGTGAACAAGTACAGTTGCAGCCTTTTTCCTGACAGATAGGGGTGGGAGCTTGATCCTTTGGTGGTTTTTCAGTTCGTTTGATGAGACATCATACTGATGATCACCGACTTCCTAAAGGTGTTAATGTTACTTGTTGGAATAAGTCGATTCCTATAAAGATTAATGTCTTTATACGGTAGGTGCGATTAGATTGTATTCCTAATAGGGTGAACTTAGATAGAATGGGGATTGATCTGGATTATTTGTTGTATCTAGTTTATAGAGAATATAAGGAGGATGATATTAATCTTTTTTAGATGCTCTTTAGCTAAGGAGGTGTAGCACCGAGTGAAGGTGTAGGTGGATAAAGATTTCCTTAATTTCTAGTTTACTTTCCATATGTATCAGTGGATTAATGGACACCTTGTTGTTAACTTGGAACATGTGATTCTTGTAAGGGTGTTATTCGGTAGTTTTTTTTTTCCGCTTTAATCGGTTCAGTTTTTTTGTTTTTTTACATCTTAAAACTAACCATAACCAAACCAAATAATGTTCAGTTTAATCGGTTTTGGTTAATTCAGTTACGGTTTATTCGGTTTGATTTACCGGTTAAACCAAATAAAATTTTGCATGTAAAAATAAAAATTAAACCAAAAGAAAATAAAAACCCATTAAACTATTACCAAATGAAAAAAGATACATTAACACATAACATATTATATTCAAACTTTGACAAAATGTTGTCATGGATCGTCGATGTAGTCATCCAAGTTGTAAAATTCATAATGGTTAATAATTAAATAATGGTTAAACAATTATAAATTCATAATGGTTAATAATTAAATAATGAGTTATCAAAATCTTTTTTAGTAACTAATTCATGAATTTAAATATAAAATGTTAATTTATATATATATATATATATATATATATATATATATATATATATAGGGGACAGTTCAAATAAAAACAGTAAATAGTGTGAGAACGTAAAAACACCATTTTATGTTATTATTCTGCAATGAATTTTGTATCGACAACTTTATGTCATTATTCAACAAAGAATAAATGAATAATTAAAGGTTAAAATTAAAATTAGAATTTACTACAAAAATACACATATATAAGTTTATAATAGAATAATAACATTGTAATGAATATATGACTAATCGAAAGTTAATATTTATATTAGAATTACTTCAACAATACACATATACAAAATTCATTACAGAATAATAACATAAACATAGTGTTTTTACGTTCTCACACTATTTACTGTTTTTATTTGAACTTACTTCTATATATATATATATATATATATATATATATATATATATATATATATATATATATATATATATATATATATTAAATATCTTATTCAGTTTTTCGATTTAACCAAAATAATAAAACTTTAACCAAAACAAACCAAATAAGATATCATTATTCGGTTAACCAAACCAAATTAACTAAATAACCGAATAACCCGAACCAAATAAACCAAACATCATTTGGTTCGGTTCGGTTATTCGGTTTCAATTTTTTATCACACTCCTAATTACAGTCATTTGGGTGTTCTGGACGTATTGAAGCGTGTTTCTATTTAGCCAACAAAAGTATCAGAAATAATTCTTATTTGATAATATCGTTTCTTATTCTTACAATTAGTTTGTTTTAAGAAACACAAATGCTACCAGTGGCGGTGCCAGGGTCAAAGTAAATGGGTATCACCCAAAAAAAATCGTGTAATATATAATAAGAAAAAAATAAAAACCGCAATTTCACTAGATATAAAGTTCAACTTCCATAACAAAGTTATTAAGTTATTTTTTAAAGTTCATATTCGCATTTTCATTTTACGAAAGCGAGTAATTACGATATCGATGATGGCGGCTTTAACAGAAGAATCCTTTAGAATGCTTTATATGGATCACTATATATATACAGAAATGGAAGTCTAAGCAAAGAACTCAACAAGCCTCATTCACTAAGTATGTTAAATGCAACCATCCACTCAAGATTTGTTCCAATTTAAGAGAGGTAAAGTGATAACATTTCTTAAAGTTGAAAGTTCATGATTTGTTGATCCCAACAGAGGTTCGATAGCACCAAAATGCATATACTACAGCAAAATCACATTCTATTAAAAAGACTAAGGTTAATACAACCATCCACTCAACGTTTGTTCCAATTTAAATGAAAAATGGAGTACATTAATATTATAGAAACCAAGTCAAGTCTGTAGGGGTGATGCATCTATCATTTCAACCAAATCATCATACCACAATCAATTCCTAAATGTCAAAATTCAACCATGAAACAAAATATTCAATTAACTTCAAACCGTAGCATGGTCTATGTTGAAATCATTTACAGGGAGTTTGACTATTAACTTGATTTCAAGTTTCAACAACAAAATAATCACTAATTATTAATCCTAAGTCCCCAATCTAACAATCCTAATTAGTAATTTCTAATTTTTCAACACAATGACAACAAATTGAATTTCAATTAACCTAACGATAATCACTAATTTTTGTACTTGATTCATTGTCCACTTTGATCAATAATCACACACCACATGAGGATTTCGTCGGAGAACACCCACCATCGAAGGCAAATCGCCGTCAGAAAGAAGGAAGGCAGCAATGACCGCATCGTTCGTGAGTCGCAAGAGGGAAGGGGGAGTCCGAAAAAAATTATACTACTGGATTTTTTTTGAGGGGCATCCCCGGATACCCCGGGCTCCAAGGTGGATCCGCCTATAAATGCTACTAACAATTGGTATGCATGGACGCATCATCCAATAATGCCTTACATGTTCCCATGGGGTTGTGTTTCTTGCTATCCAACCTGCATGTTCCCATGCTGGAAATGTAGAAAAGGGTTATGAAATTCATTTGAAATCAAATGAGGGTTAAAACAATCATTTTTATTGTTAAGAGACAGGCATTCAAATACCTGACCAAACATCAATTTATTATTCAGATACAAATTCATATAGAGCCTCTATATCATCCAGGCCTCTGCATCATCCAGATATGAGTACTCCAGATGCTACCAAACAACCCCTTAGTTTGTTTGTTTTTATGCTAGTATCTAGCTAGCTTTCGCTTATATAATATATGACTGCCTTTCCAAAAAAATGTTTGTAACAAGTGTCAAACAATTATAGCTATACTGTTTCTCTTCTATGTTTGTTGCAACAAAAACTTACAATACAACTTGGAATTTTTTATAAAATAATCTCTGAATCTCTTTAAATCATTTTTGATAACTAATAGAAGTGTTCTAAACAAAAAAAACATTTACCAAAAGGCGTTCGATCTATCAATATCAGAAGTTGATAGATATATGTTTTTCAGCAAAAAAAAAAATAAAAAAAAATAAGGGTTCAAGTCCCATTTCAAAGAAAAATATATAAATTTCCGAGTAGAATAACATGTGGACTAGTCTTAGTAAACAAAAAAACCTTTGCCACAATAAGTTATGTAGGGGTATATTTTGCAAGTTCATGTAAACTACAAGGGCTTATCTTTGATAAAATAAATCCAGACCCGCACGGCTTACGGAGTGCAGTCATCAATCAAATTCAACGAAATCAAGCAAACAGTGACGCTGCTTCATTAGGGTTTTATCAAATTCTACACTCAGCTCCAGAAGTTTACCAGAAATGGCCGATGAAGCAAACAAAACCGTAGTTTTCTCCTTCATTTATTGAAAATTGATTTAGGCATACATACGTGAATTATTTTGAATGTTCCCTCACTAATCGCGGAATACGATTTGTGTTATTAGGCTTTTGTGGAGATTCAAGGTCGCATGATTGAGACCACTGCTAAGTTGAAACAGGTAGCTTTTTCTTGTTCTTTTTCACACATGGTTACTCGTTGCATTGTATCCAAGTTAGTTACCTTTCTTAGAAGTTGAAAGCCATGTATTTTTCGAATCTGGGAAAACCCTTTTGATCTCTAAAGCTCTAAATCAAAGTGTAGCGCTCTATTCTTATTGAAACGAAGGTTTTATATATTTTCTTTCTGTTTTTTGTGCTTCTTTGTTCTTCAATTGTGTGCTTTTTTGCTTCTTATTGACATTTACACTGGATAGAAAGGGATCAGACACTCAAATTCTACCTCAAACAAGAAAAAGCTCAATTAAATCAATTTCTTCATAATTGTCCACTTGAAGATTTTGATAACCCAACCACTTTTTTATTGAGAGACAATGATCTAAAGATTTTGATTACCCAGCTGTAATCATCATCATACATAGTTGATTAATTGTGTGTCTTTCAGGTTCAAAACCAGATGCGAAACAAGGAAAGTGAAAAGAAACGTGCTTATCTAACCTTAGAGGAACTGCAACAGTTGTCAGATGACACAAACACTTACAAATCTATAGGTATCAAATTTTTACTACATACAGTTTTTCTTTTTGTATCAAGTAAAAAAGAAACTCCTGTTTGTTTTATTCATCTTTTTTTAATTTTCATTTTGCAGGGAGAACGTGAGTACTGGATACCCTTTATACCCCTACTACTATACCCTTCTCCATTCATAATTAACTGAGTACAATAATTTTGCATTTCCCCAAAGCTGAAGCAAATGAATTATTATGATTTATGATTATTCTCAAACATCAATTTTCATCTTTTTATCAGTTTATAGCTGTTTAATCCCCTTAACCAATTTGATTTTTCTATGTCAAATGACTAGTTTGTGAAAGAGTTTTAAAGTATAATGTTCTAATAAGAAAAAATGAAACTAGAACATAATTATACACAAATAATTGAAATTATGTTGCTGTTTCTTGCATTTATTCGTTTACAAAAAACATCCAAAATCATCATACAATATCTGTTCATATTAATTTGGATATTCTCATGTAGTAAAAGATTCTTCTTTATTGTTATTTCTCACTGCTTTATTATATATAATTTTTGTATATGATAAACAGGTTTGTCTTAGAGCCAAAACCATTTTTAATGGATGAACAAGAAAAGAAGCTCAAGGATAGTGAAACTGCAATTGCATCCTTACAGGTTTGCTCCTCTTTTATATCCTTTTTATATACTGAAATTAAAAAAAATATATATATAAAAAGGAAACACTCGTATACAACTTTATTAGATTAAGAGGGCAAGGGGCTTTTCCCTCATTAAGTTCTTTATGGGTGATGTTTGTTGGATAATGTGCTGTTTACATAAGTTTTTTCTTCTTTTTCTAGAATGATTACACCGTCTTAATGAGATTAAATGACCAATTTACCCTTACATTTTAATATTTTCACAATATTCATCAAGTATAATGTGAGAGGAAAACATAAGAAGGGCAAATAGGTAAAGGGTTGTTTCTTTTTGACTTAATGAGCTTAATGAGTTCACAACTTAATCTCAACAATTATATATGGCTGTTTTTTTTTTTTTTTTTACTTAATCTAGACATAATGACTTAATGTGTTAAGCCAAAAAACATGGGTTAATGTATCAAGACATCAGCCATTTACCTTTTTGCCCTTCTTTTTTTTTCTCCCAAATCACGTTCAAATCGATGAATCTTGTTAAGATTGATGAGTATTGTTAAATTGTTTGTTATTTTGTTGAATATTCTTTCATGTGAATAGACTTCAAAGGAGTACCTTGAGAAACAACTGGGAGAGGTGGAGACAAATTTAAGGGAGCTTCTGCAACAAGATCCAGGTCTTGCTCGCCAGATAATGTCCATGGCTGTTGTCTAACCATTTCTTAAAATCAATCCACAAGAATCCATGATTATGAAATCCAAATGGTGTAGTGGAGTTTGTATGTGATGTTTATGAAGAGTATTTATGTTGCATATTTTTGTAAGCCACCAAGAACAAAAATCATACAACATGCATCGACCACTTGGAATTTTTGTAATCGGATATCTACTTTTAAATTTGTCATTCATTTACTCAATGTAAACAATTATAGACTACTAGGTAAGCACAATTGGTTTTGGAGTGATTGGTAGCTATATATGGTGTCTTTGGTAAAACTAGCTGGTTGTTGAAAAGTATTAAACTTTTATTTGTGTAGAAGCGTTCGACAAAAGTATCTATAACCATTTGGATTTAGGTACTTGGTGACAAGGTACTTGGTAGTATCTTCCTAATGTGTCTTGTATTTGAGTTCTAAAGCTTTGTATTTAGATTCTAAAGCTTTCTAGAATATCTTTAACCAGACTCTTTGTACTTGATATGAAGAAAACGTAAGTCCTTAGATTCTTTGTCCAAAGACTTAAAATTTTCTAGTTCGCAAATTGCTTGTGGATTTGGGGCTTTTACTGTTTTGAAGATCAGATTAGCTTCGAGAACATAAGCAAGCTTTTACACAATGAGTAAGTAGACAATTTGACTTTATCATCCCGAAGAGTGTAGTTTTGACAAATGAAGCGACCAGTTTGACAAATTCTTGGTTCATCAGTCGAAAGTTTGCAAAAGAAATCCTAGTACCTACTTATGCCATTCGTTTGATAAATTTTTGTCATTATAAAAACCTTCAAGATTGTTGTAAAGCAGAGTCGAAAGTTTGCAAAAGAAATCCTAGTACCTACTTATGCCATTCGTTTGATAAATTTTTGTCATTATAAAAACCTTCAAGATTGTTGTAAATCAGACCAGATAGACACAAGAAAACCGAAAAATAATATTAAGAATTATATGTCGATTAGTTGCGATAATAAATCATATTATTTAGTAGTATTAGTTATCAAGTTTCGTCTAGAAACCAAATTGATCATTCGCGACCAGAGCTGATTATAAAAAATATAGAAGGAAAATTGTTCCTTTGTCATACAACTAAACAACAAAATTAAAAACCAACCTCATTGTTGTCGATCTCGACTAGAGTAAAACTTTACGCAAGAAGCTCATGTCTTTATAGGTCTTTACACCGCTCTAAGACGATAACCTTCGAAATAAAACTCATGATTTGATGCAGAATGTCTTTCGTTCTGATATCTATGAAAGAAGAGATAAACGCAAAACGATTACTCGGAAAACAAGAAGAAAGTTGGAAATCACAGAGAAAGAGAGAAGAACAGAAAGCTGTAAGTTTTAAGGTGTGAAATAAATGAGACCTGAGAGGTCTTATTATATCAATACTAAAAAAGAAAGTCGGTGGCCTGACTTTCCTTTTCACCATTTAGTCCTTGCACATTTTATTTCTATCATTTTTTTCCTTTTAGTTTGTAAAAAGAAACTTTATATCCTTTACTTTTCAAAATTACACTTTTATCCCCTTCAACTTTGAAAAACTTTCTAAATTGTCACTTTCATCCCATCCATTTTCTAAACTTTCATGTTTAGCTCCGTACTATATATAATATGATATTTTATAGTTATCACCACTCAACTTTATAAAATATCACTTTCACCCCCTCCGCTTTGAAAGAATTCTTCCTCCATATTATATATAATCTAATTTCCTATCCACCGGCTTTATCTATGTTTTGACATAAAAGTTTTACAATTTGTGCTTATTTTAAAGCATTTTTCTTGGTATGAATGTGGTCTTTGACTTTTATGCTTTGGCAAATTAAGTCATTCTAAGTTTATATGCATCACTTTGGCCCCTGACTTTTATGGTTTGGCACTTAAGCCTTCTTAAACTTATATTGTTACTTCTTATATTTAAATCCATTACTGCTGCCGCAGCATGAGACGAATAAAATTCTAGTTTATACTAAATACAAAAACGTGAATCCTCCAAAAAGCTATTTGATGACGACACCCCACCACCTAAATTTTGCCACGTGGCAATTCGAGTTTCGAATCCAATGACGTCGTTATCTGCCATCTCATCCAATTCAACATGAAGTTTAACCCGTCTTTGTGGAGGCTTTTGGGATGTTCATGCTTATTCGAATTCAAAACCAATCAAAGTGCTGATTGGGGCCGATTAAACCCGAACTTGCCAATCTCTTGTCTTCACTAAAGCCTTTAAAGGCGTGCCAAAGACAAAGCTTATAATCCCACTTTTGGTTTCCTCCCCCACCAATATGAGTTAATAGGAAACTTGCCTACTAACACATAATCCATTAAATTGTTAATGCGTTGAAGTTTAGATTTAAGGCCTAGGCGTTGATAATTTTTTTTTCTAGAGGTTACACCTCTATAAAAAAATTACAAAAATTTCTAAACTACTTGAAAAATTTTAGGATGTAATGGAAAGATTTAAGGGGTAGCGCACACAAATCTTGACCACTAACCAGGTAACACTAACCAGGTCTACCGCAGGTAAGGTGTCCACATGAATATGTGAGCATCATATAGTGGTAGTAATGATGGTAGATTGATTTTAGTTATTTATATAATAATAATAATAATAATAATAATAATAATAATAAACAACGAACAAAATAAACATTTTAAAAAATTTACCGCTAGATTTAATGGCTCACAAATCACCTCAAAGCAATCTTGTTAAGATCCCGATCTTGATCTTAAAATCTTCCGATTTTAAGATCATACAAACCAAAAACGATCGGGGTCTTTTTTTTTTCTTCCGATCGACAGAGATATCATTAAGCTACTAAGAAGCTAGACAAAACCAACAAAAATTACATGCAAGAGATAGTGAGAGTTGGATTATGTAACCATGTAACCAATTCAAATTCAAAATACGACACCTACTATTAGCCCAAAGAAAAGAATGAGTAACAATCTGGTCAAACAACAAACTATTTCTAGGAATTCCTCTACCAAAAATACAGTCATTATGAAACCACCAGATATCCCACCATAAGGTAAGAAATGAGGCTCCCCAAAACTCTTTTTGAACCTTATACATCCTTATAGAACAAAACCAAATAATCCAATCCCGTATAGAGGTCGAAGCAGGCACCGAACATTCCCACCATCTACCCAAAAAAAGCAATAAATCAATGGCCATGGAGCACCCAAAAAAAGATGGTTTACTGATTTCATCTCTTGATAACAAATTAGACACATAATAGAAGGAAATCAAGACCTCTACTAGACAAATTTGCCTTAGTAGGGAGCTAGGTGTAACCGTCAACTAAAAACATTAATTTTTATAGGAACAAAAGAACACCATCTAGTCGTGGTATCTGGACAAATAAAAATTTTCTTATCAATCTCTAACTGAGCAGAGCTAATCGAAAACAAACATGAACCAACTAACGTCTAACTCCATCTATCAGGGATAGGGGAAATAACCACCGTGTTTAGCAAAGCCGAGAACTCCTCCCACTGAACAATTTCGACACCTCCTTTAGGCATGCAAAAAAAAAAAAAAAAAAACGAACCCAATCCATAAGTCTGCATAAGTTTTTAGTCCACCGAAACCTGCTTATCTAACTCCAAAGCATAAAGTCTATGAAACTTATTCTTCAAAGGCATGTCATCAATTCATATAACCTCCCAAAAACTCGTATCCGAACCATCACCGATTTTCTTTTTATAAAAAGAAAAAGGTTAATACCTTTAGAATATAAATTGTCTAACACCTTTATAATAGAAACCCAAACTGAGCTGCAAGGATTTCTATGAGGAATATTACCAATCAAACCATGAACACCATGTATATCCTCCCAAAAAGGATCCTGATCTTACTAGGATCTATATGAAGCAAGATCTACAGTGGGATCTTAGGATCCTAACAAAGATTTTAAGATCTTAATACAATCTGATCCCACACCTCTAGTTTTATTATATAGACGAGTCTGAAATTTTTTTTCTATTCAACTTGAAATTAAGCATTGCAAGTTGCAAAAAAGCTAATAAAACATCATCACTTCATCAATTTATCACGAATTAGACAAATTACACTAATGATATTCCATTTATGATCTTAAGCCTTTAGTTGTAGATCATAATGATCTTGTTTCTTTTTATAATTGAAATGTTTTATTCCTAATTTTTATGGTTTGCAACAATAAAAATTATGGTTCATGTTTTATAAGTTAAAATTGGCTTTATATCGACATCTTAATCCATATCATGTAATAATGTATATTGCACAACCAAGATATTACGAGCAAATTTGAATATGACTTCATTTTGCTAGGATATTCTGATCCGATTCGATCTGACAATCACGATCTTGCAACACATTAAACGATCTTAGGTAAGATCTCGATCTTGAAAACCTTGCCTCAAAGAAAGAAAACCAAAGAACTAGTAATGCAATTATTCATATTTATAATGGTGATATGGAAAATAAATTCAAAGTAGTATTAATATCTGCACTTATGTTTGAATTAAATCGAAACATTTATAATAAGCAAAATACCAACATGGCAATGCAGAGTTATCGCTTTCTTCCAAAAAATGTTAATACATTTTTGTGGCGTGCCTTGTTTGATTGTTTGCCTATTAATTGGAAGCTAAGCCATAACGGAGTTAAAGTCCACTCTATTCTTTGTCCGATTTATATTGTTGGTGTGGAAGCTCTTGATCATCTTTTTTTTTTTTTGTGAGCTTGCTTTCAACATTTGGAGGAAAATATTCTCTTTGTGTGATTTAAAGACACTCTGTGACATATATCTTTAACTAGATTGATGTTATGGAAGGTGGTTCTAAGAAGCGAGATACTATGGAGGATATAATTGTTGTGGGAATTTGGTCAATTTGGAGACACCAAAATGATTTGATTTTTGCTGAGGAAATTCCACGAATAGACAATTTTTTTTGATAACATCGTCGATTTCTCTTTTAATTGGTTTGTTTTTAAAAATTTCAAAGTTTCTGCTAGATGGGTTCATTGGTTATCAAACTTGTTTCTAGCTATTTCTTTGTAATTTTCTAGTTCATTGCTAGCTTCTTTTATAAAATTCAGTTGTTCTAAAAAAATATGACTTGGTCGATCACTTACCCTACTCAATGAATTACTCGAGACATTTTTAAGAGGTATATGTATATCCAACAATCTAGATGAAAAAAACAAAAAAACATCATGTATTCAACAAGCTTATTCCTTATAA